CCCGGAATTGACACCAATTTATTACTATTTTGATAGCCTAATAGTCAGATTTAATATTTGCCACGCCACTGACAAGGTGAAGAACGAAGCAAGGTCGTTACCGCCGACGCAACACAAGTACCGTTTTATACCGATTTTTTAAATATTTTTCGCCACTTATTTTATTTGTTATATAATTACTTTTTTGTTTTTGATTTTTGCGTCAGGGATGGCGTTCGTAAACTGTTTGAAGTTGATGCCAACTTGTCGAACTAGTTTTTAGAAAAACTGGATGCTTACTTACCTATAATTCGCTTTAAGTGGTCAGGTAAGTATTACGGATATTCCATTTGCGAACGTTTGGCTGATTCACTCTGTATATCACAAAATTAATTACAAGGTCACTGAATTCTCGTAACAATGATATTCTTTATTTATAAACAGTAATTTAAGACGCGAATATTTGTTGACACATAGTATAAATTCGTGGAAAACATTATCTAACTCAGAGAAATTCTAAAAATTACTTTTGTTCTTGATGTGAATAATGACATGCATTTTTAACAGTTTCATTTTATTGAAATATTTTCTCAAAATTATTTTTCGTGTCATTGTGAAGTAGCAAATTTTGAAAGTATTCATTTTGTAAATTACAACTTACGTGTCAACACTACATTGGAGGAGTTGTAAATTATAGAGAAGTAAATACATATTTGGAAAGGTGTGTGAACAACGTTTGTAGTTATATATTCAACAACCTGACCCAACAAGAATAGTTTCCGGATCTTCTTAACCGGAATAAACTAGTCTACTAGTGTACGAACCAATGTTTTCATCGTTGACAACAACAACAACAACAACAAAGTTGTTACAGTTGAAATTACACGATAATATATATAACATTCGATTCAAGAGGAACTTTGATCTTTTAATTTTCCATCACACTGTACTTTGAAAATTTACCTGCTAACGCTGTTTATTTGGATAATAATAACACCTGCGGTTTTATACAGGGTTTTCCAGCAAAAACTAACCGGAATATTTATATAACGGTTAAACTTTTTTGAAAAAACAACAATTTTCTCAGTTAACCAACCTTGTCATACTTTACATGAGCACTGTAAACGTACTCAGCAAATTAACAAGGCCTCAAAAAGTATATACAGAGTGGGTCAATAAAAGTACATTCTTCGATATCTATTAATAATAATAAATTGTTTTGTTTTTGAGGCACAACCTAGTTTATTGTAAATAGAACATGTTGTATCTTTCTAAATATTCTTATAGTTCATTCTTGAAATTCTGATGTACCGTCTTGATTTTTTGGCAGTGCAAGGGTTCACAAAAAATCATAATAGGGTTATTTTTAAAATCTGAGAAGAAATAAAAACGGTATTCCTTTTGTTGTGATGTAAAATAAATTGATTCTTGATATAAAGAGATATATATCTTATAACCCTATTTTAAAAAATAATAATTAATGAAACATTAAGCTAAGTGTCTCAACCTGTATATTAATTTGTGTCAAATGTATTCAAAATTCAATTTTTCCTTGATTTAACAACAGACAAGAAAACTAATATTGCATTAAAATGCGTCTTCTTCTTATTATTATTACTACCACCACCACCTTATTATTGTTAATATACTGCTCGTAACAATATTTAAGTTCTACTAAAAAAATATTGGTATTACTCGTTACTAACCTTTTCAAGCGAGATGTAACAAAATGAGAAGTGCCATTTAAAGAAACTGGGCTGATGTTTTCTAGTCAAAAAAAAAAATGAAGCTAAAGCAGAAATTGTACATTGCGCACGTTTCAGATTTTGGCGCACACTGAAAACATCGATATTGAAAAGTCATAAAAACAATTTTATGACATCTTAAAGTGTGTGGAACAATACACTTTCGAGTTATATGACTGTAGTATTAATTCCAATAAACGTCACAGTTGTTTACATACTGTGTATGATACAATGGTGTATTTTTTTAGTACTGAGTTGCTACCACGTAGGTAACAGTTGTATGAGTATGCGACAAAAGCTTTCAATTTGGTTTCATTTTGAAGAAAAAACGAAAAAAACAAATAGATATCAATAACAACAAAAAAATAATAATGAAAAGCAGACAGTGAATCTTTGATATAGGTAGGGATTTTTGCTATGTTACTAGTACCAACATAATTCTTTTGTTGATTGCATTTTTTGCATTATTATTACTTGCGATAAAGGATTTGAATTAATTCATTTTTTGCGTACCCTCTTACGCTCTAAAATTTAATTCATCGTATTATGAAAACAGTTTTGATAGTGTAAAAAATAATGATAAATATAGCATTGATGAGCTAAATGAGATGAAATCGTTGGTAAATCCACTACTTAAGTTCACACGTCAACTTTTTTTGTTAGTATTTACTAACAGAATCTAAACGTGAGTAAATATAAAATAAAAGAACAAAATCATGCCAGTATTAATCAACAGATTCCATTTAGCATTCAAGATTTTTGGACCCACTATATCAATTTTTATCTGGCTAAATACCATACGTTCCGGTTAAGATTTAGATGAAGAGATGCGCTACCGAAGGCCTCGCCGAAATGAATAAGAAATCTTCTTTTTCTTTAAGAGATTCAGACGATAATTTTGGTTGCTTAGCTCATTTTTTGTGGTTTAAATGGTCGGGCCCTCCTGATTAGTGAGCGTAAACCTCAAGTTAACTTGTCTAGATTGAAATGCCGGCCTGATTCACTCTCGTCTTTGATGGTGATGGCCTCAGGCTTTTGGTGGCTAGAGAAAGATAATTGCGAGCAATTTATTAAATGCAATTATAAGAAAAAACTGTAGCTTTTTACGATGACGTAAATGTCATGTTTGAACAAATTTGCAAAAAGTTGGAAACATAGGAAATTATTACTTAGTATTCTGTATGGAATTTTATCGACTTTTTGTTGTAATTTGTGAACATAGGAAGGAATGTCTTCCTGAGTCTAATTATCGAAATGGAAAAAATTCCATTCAAAGCAATTTGGTTGCCGGTCGCTGCGTGGCGTGGTAATAGCGAATGAGTCACACTCCGTAGTAACTCACATTACTAAAGGGCGACGTTAAAAGTTTGACTATTTCTCTGAATTGTTACCGTTAATTTATTATTCATACGCTTAAATATACAATGAGATAATTTGCATTACGCTACTTGTATCTCTAATTGTATGCCACACCGGATCTGTTTATATCAAAGACAAACGTAACGTTATTTTATTATGAGAAATCCCATAAAACATAATTAAAGGTATCATCAACAATAATTGCGGATTTTACCACGGATTTAATATTGTTTGCACCGTGGTATTACATTTTTTTAGGGATTCCCGAAATACATCCACACCGTGATAAAAGAAAAAAACTTATTTCAACGCATTTTAAATGCTTAATCCGTTCGAGTATCTGTTGTGAAAGCATTCAACAATTTAAACTGGTTTGAAGTAACTCGTATCCACAAAAACAACAATTAAATCAAAATTGAAAAGTCGCTCTATTATTTTTTCACTTCTATTATTAGAACGCAAGCGTAATAATAGTTTGTTTGGAAGATTTGTTTAGTTGTTTAACCATTGATTTGTTTGACAAGTTTCTACAATACGTATAGTTGACAAACTATGCGGATGTATTGTGGGTTGCCTATCCGTCTGTTAAAAATGCGACAAATTTAATGCAAGACCTACTACAACATGACTTTTTGACCATTTTTAGTTATTTATATTTAGTTCAAGGAGATTAGAGAGAGATAGAATATTTTTGTGTCAAATTTGTACAATTGCTTATGATTTGAAATGACCGCATAAATACTTTCGTACGAAAATGTCACTGTCAAAGCTGAAATACATATAAAATAAAAATAAACACATTACTTGCTTTGGTTAATCGTTTCGTACGAAATTGTCCCGAATATCCTGGTTGCGGTATAGCGAATTCATTGTTTTGGTTCATACCTGCTGAATCATCTTAGTTCGTTAGATATATTATCTTTTTTCGTGTGTAATTAGTGCTTATTCAATAAAACTATGAATTAATACAAAAACAGATTTGTTTCCAAGAAACACTTAATAAAAAATATGTAAAAATATACCCGGCGCATCCACCAAATTTTTAATCGTTATAATTTAATTGCTAACGCGAAAAACCATACCCAAACAACAATAATCACTATCAAATGGAAAGAACTTTCGTTGCTGATTTTTTGGGGTTAGTGTGATTTAGCAGAGTGAAGTAAATGTTATTTCGCCCTGTGATGGAGAAAAATTTTTGTTTAATTTTGCCACGGCATGACGTTACCTTGAATCTTTCATTAATTTGAAGCTTAGTTAATCCCGTAAGTTGTATGTCAACAGAGACAAGGCTATAAGTGACATTCAATTTATTAAATTAACAGAGAGTTTAAATTTTCAGTAATGTGATTAATTTCTGGGAACAAATTTTCCACGAATTCGACTGTAAACATTGCTTCTTTGTACAGATCAATGTCGTCAAATAAAATACCACATTTTGTTGATGAACTTATTTAAAACATAATTTAAATTAACATAACTGTCTGAAATGAATGTAGTAATTTTGTTGTTTTATTTATAGTCAAATTATAGTGTCAACACGACACCTTAGACTAACTGTCGACGTGTTTCAACAGCTACGCTGTCGTTTGGTCAAAGCATTTTTAGGAAAAAATGAAATGTAAAATTTTCTGTCAAAATATCTACATTTTTGTTTAGTGTCATTTTTTAAAATATAAAATACGTGTTTTTCATAATTTATTTTTGTTTGTAATATTCCGGAAGTGTGAAGTTACAAAATATATAGTTACAAACCACTCCCAAGCGGACCTGTGGTAAGCCAGTTTCCACACGTGACGTAATTCTTTTAATGTGTAGATAAACCGATATTTCTGTGGACAGTTTTGTTAATTATGCGGAATTAATGCGTTATAATATTAACGAAAAGTGAACAAATGAACAGTTTGTGCGGTCGTAATTTGTATTCTGTGCCAAACTTCCGGAGTATCATCAAGCTCAATTAATAAAAATTAAAGACATTTTCCTAGAAACGTTTTAATTAATTAAGAAAACGGTTCGTGCACGAATTAGAGTGAGATCAACCACAAATTATCACAGGAAATTATGTAAAAAAGTGCGCATTTCGTTTTTATGTCATGCGAATTCGAAGTAGCGGGACGTCAAGCCCTCTACCGGTAACCAATCAAACCACGTCATTCTCATTTGAATCCAAAATGGCTACTACATCAACAAACTAATGTCGGCAAAATATTAATCGAAAATGTTATGATTTTATGGTGTTAGAAGAAAAAAGATGCAGTGCACTAATACTCGGCGATAAAAAACTAGTGACTGATACTGTTAACGCAGTGTGAAGGTTAGATCTGAAGTCAAAATTAAAGGCGCCATGTTCTCATGCCAAGCCCATTATTTTGGTATTTTTTTAATTGTTTGTGTATTTTGGAACAACAACGTTAATTGCAATGCGATCGGTGAGTGGTTTTTGTGTTTACGTTAAACAATGATAGGAAGTGTGTCACGGCGGGTTTTATGTTAACAAAAAAATTCTAGATCCAGAGGATGAAGAGAGGGCTGTTACTATTGAAGTGTTAACTTTTAATTCGACTCAACTGCCTTATGGTGAAAACGTGACGATAATCTGCAAATCGAAGTGGGTTGACAGTTTTATATTGTGGACTTTCGATGAAAGAAATATTACAGATGGGGAGAATGGGTAAGTGGTAAAAAAGTGTGAAAATTCTCGTTTGGAACACTTGTTTTAGTTTTAAACTGGAAATGGAAAGTGAGAACATCAACACAAAGTCGGGGAAGAAGTCAGAAGTTTCAATTTTACATATTGTGAATATCGATCTGAAACATGTTGGAGATTATAAGTGTCACAGTACCCACAAACTCGAACTTGCTTTGGATTTTTGTAAGATAACATTGAATGTTACACTACCTGCACAAATAGTACAAATATCACCCCCCATACACACAAAATTACACCAAAACATCGATTTGTATTGCGTTATTAAAGGATATCCAATTGAAGATATTAAATGGTTCAAAGATGATGAACTTCTCCCATCTGACTTATGGACAGTCAAAACCATAAATGAAACACTGAAAAATACAACACTAACTGTTAGTGAAGTCACCAAAAAGGACAACGCTACTTACACTTGTTTAGCTTCAAATGGTCACAATACAGTCAACTCGTCCTCGGCTATATTAGTACTGGATAAACCACAAATAACCATTGATTTTGTGAAGGCAATAGGAATTAATAAAGTCTACTTAAACTGGACCGTGAATGACGGAAACGACCCCAAACACTTAAAATACACAATCCAGTATATGTTATCAGGTGACTCCAACTGGATCTTCTTCCAAAATAAAATTGACGAAAAAGCAAGATCGTACGTTTTGAAAGACATCTTCAAAAACAACACTGAATGCACTATTAGAATAAAAGCGAAAAATTCAGAGGGCGAGAGTCAGTACTCGACGAGCACTCCAGTGCGCATGCTCTCTGAAGACCCGGTTTTCATACCTGAAGTAAAAGTAACAGGTGTGACAGTCAGCTCAATTACAATCAGTTGGAGTACTCCAACTGATGATCTCAAGGATCACGTTCAGTATTATACTTTGTATCTAAAAACAAACAATTCTTCATTCAATGCCATTCACCCCGTTTCAAAGGAAAATTATCACATGTTTTCCGAGCTGGATCCCGCGACCAACTACAATTTCCAAGTTGCGGCATGCAGTGAGTATAGCCAGACTTGCGGTCCTCCGTCTGACGTTGTCAATGGTACAACAATGGACGGGATTTCTGGACCACCGTCAAATCCGACAATACAATGCCGCTTTGACAACATTAGTCAAATTTCGTTTGTGCATATAACGTGGCAAGCACCAATCAAACCACACGGGATGATTTTGTATTACCATGTAATGTCAATAGAGTGTTTGATATACCAAGGGTAATGGTTAAGTTGTAGGTTCACCTAGAAGGTAGCGCTACCTTTATCAACGACCAAGGTGTTGTAGAACACACAACGTGGGGCCCAAAATTGAAAAGTGTCAGTGAAAACACTTTCAATACTCGTTTTAATAATGTTTCTGCCAATACTAACTATACAGTAAAAATTTGCGGCGTGACCAGGACTAAGAAAAACGGCGAAACCGTTTCATTACAATGTACAATGCCGTCTATGTTGCCTGATAAACAAAAATTGGCCCAGTTGAATTGGACGAAAATTGAAGAACAAGGGAGATGGTTGTTCCAGTTACATATTCCTAGAGTGTCAGAAAGAAATGGTCCTATTTGTTGTTACAGAATATATTTAGTTAGAATGGAAGACCAACAAAAGATAGCTGAATTACCATCTCCTGAAGACTTGTCAATTGTTTCTTATCAAGAAGCTCACAGAACACCGAAAGGGGGAGCATACGTCGCAGAAATGTTTACCAGGTGACATATAGTGATAATAGTGTGTTCATAATGATAATTTTCTTGGTAGTTCTGCTTTTCACGGGGAAGTATTCTTAGGAGATGAACAAGTTTACAATTTGTCTAACACTCAATGTGATGAATGCGTTGGATTGAGACCATATACAAGTTACAAAGAACTGAAATTTGACAATAGTAACGATACCGCAAACAGGGTTAAAAGAGAGGAGAGATATGATCCTTTACCACCTCATGATGGTACTCTTGATATTAACAGTAACTATACAGGTTTCATAGAAGTTGTTGGTAAGTATCTAGAACCACTCCTTATGTATACCTTGTAAGTTATTCGATGTTGTTTATGTGGTTGCGCCTGTGTGACATATGGTTTCAACTCCAAGAATACAACATGGAGGTAGAATGGGAGGAGGGAAGATGGTTTACATGCGTAATCGTGCCGCGGTTTTAACTAGTCCCTCCACAAAGCTGTCGTTTCCTCAACCACTTTAGAACAAATGAACCCAGCAGGTGAATAACGCGACGCTTTTGTTATCTGTAAACCTATTACGGAACGGAAACGACTATAAACCTCCAATTATTTTAACATTGCTACAATCTCCCTTCATGCACCCACCTCCATGGGATATAAGTACCATTTACATTTTCTAATTCGCGCTACAATCGGAAACATTGTTGTCGCTAATTTTTTCACTCGTATTTACGTGGAATTCTCTTTGGACAAATTCGAGAACTGGTCCATTTTCAGTTTATGGGAACAGCACCAGAGCATCGACAATAGCAGCGTATAGCAATTACCTAATAATGATGAACCCGGGCCCCGAGAATGCCGAAGTACCTAGAACAGCAACCCTCGGAACCCTAAATTTGGTGGTACAAATTTTGTGTGGGATCGTGATGTTGGTTCTTCTCTTACTAGGAGCGTTGTGTATTCTCCACCACTACACCAAGCAAGCGCATGCCCAAGCCGTGGAAATCACCTTTAGGACATCCCTTAGGTAATACTCCTAGATTAGGTTGCAACAAATGCTTAAGTGCTGTGATCAGTGACCAAATCCAATTAAAACACAGCAGAAAGTGTCAACCCTAATCTACTTAAATTAAATTATATTATCGTACATCTATTTTTTTGTTAATAATTGGACTTAGGCATTTGTACAGGAGCCTACGGGGTCGGCAGCGCTTAGTATCTCTAAATCCTCCCGATATGTGCCCAATTAGCAAGGGGGAACTCGTTTCTGCATATATCGAACGGCACAGGGATTCGGATTATGGATTCCAGCAAGAATTCGAACTTTTACCGGATAGGTTTTCGGATAGAACAACAAGATCATCGGATGCTAGAGAAAACGTGTATAAGAATCGGTACCCTGATATTAAGGCTTACGATCAAACTAGAGTGAAAGTGTCGCAGATTGACAGTATCGCAGGGTCGGATTATATCAATGCGAACTATGTATTGGGGTACAAAGAACGGAAAAAGTTTATATGTGCCCAAGGTCCTATGGATACTACTGTTAACGACTTCTGGAGGATGATTTGGGAACAGCATTTAGAGCTTATTTTGATGTTGACGAATTTGGAAGAGTATAGTAAGACGAAATGTGCTAAATATTGGCCTGATAAATGCGACGGTGATAAATCTTTCGGTGATATAACAGTTACTCACGTGCAAGAAACGAGATACTCAGATTATATAGTAAGAGAACTTAGGATCTGCAGAAATGCACCTGGTAAAGATAAAGAGGAGAGGCAAATTACTCAGTATCATTACCTTGTTTGGAAAGACTTTATGGCCCCGGAACATCCAAACGGTATCATTAAATTTATTAAACGGGTCAATGAAGCCTACTCCATTGAAAAAGGGTGCATTCTTATACACTGTAGTGCAGGTGTTGGTAGAACGGGTACTTTAGTAGCACTAGACTGTCTGTTGCAACAACTGAAAGAAGAGGAACACGTCTCAATTTTCAATACTATATGTGATTTGAGACACCAAAGAAACTTCTTGGTTCAGTCTTTGGTAAGTAAAAACCAATACTCATCCAAGCTTGACGTTTTCTCTCCAGAAACAATACATATTTATATACCGCGCTCTCATGGAAGTCGCGCAATACGGGGATACCGAAATTGCGACGAGCAAATTAAAGACGACTGTAGACAAATTAAGACAGTGTGATAAAGACAAAGCGAAATGTAAATTAGAAGAAGAATTCGAGGTGGGGTGGTACCATTTTAGCGCTTTTCATAATTTTCGTTTTTTAGAATATACTTAATGCGTTCGAAGATCGCAAATCTTGTTCCGTAGCGAAAGGTGACGAAAACAGGGAAAAGAATAGATCGGACGTAGTCATTCCATATGATAGAAACAGGGTTATATTAACTCCTCTATCTGGTAAAGAACATTCCACGTACATTAATGCCTCCTTCATAGAAGGGTATGACAATACGGAATCGTTTATCATAACTCAAGATCCGACAGAATCGACTATCAACGACTTTTGGAGGATGATCTCTGAGCAGGGAATTAGTGTCATAGTTATGCTGTCTGAGTTGGGCGAAAACAAATGTCCGCGGTATTGGCCAGACGAAGACGAAAACACCTACGACCAAATCCACGTTCGGTACGAACAAGCGGAAAGTTGTCCGTATTATACAAGGCGCGAGATGTTTGTTAAGGGTAGGGACTGCGAAGAACATAGAGTTATGCATTTGCAGTATCATGGTTGGCCGACGGTAGATGGAGAGGTAAAGTTAACGAACGACTTCGGGGACACTATTTCTGTAATTTATGACTTTCAGGTACCTGAAGTAACGCGAGGGTTAATAGAGTTAGTTGATCATGCCCAATCCAATTTAGTCCATAACGATTGTTCGCCATCAATGGTGGTCCACTGCAATTTGGGTTCAGATAGGAGTTCTATGTTTGTAGGACTGAGCATTCTCGTTCAACAGTTACGTACTGAGAAGCGTGTTGATGTATTTACAGTAACAAGAAAGTTACGTTCGCAGAGAAATGGACTCATAAGTACATATGTAAGTAAAATTTTGCGACGTTTTGTGAATAATTAACGCAAATTGATGTTACAGGCGCAGTATGAATTCTTACATCGAGCTATTGTAAATTATGCAGAACTACACGGACTTTGTGACTCATAATATGTTATTCTTGGTGCCATAATGAGTTTTTATATTCCATTTTAAAAATTCCACGATAACCTTACTATTTAGATATTTTTATAAGTAACATGAACAATTGTAAGTCGTTTTTATATCTTTTATCAAATTGTTTCTAGTTAAAAACCAAAACTTTTACTTTACAAAAAAAAAACCAAAGTTTGCTACGGTGGTCTCGTTTATAAAATATAATTAATTTTATTGTCAAAGTTAGATTAAGAACTCAGCTTTGCTCAAATATATCATTTAATCTCACAACACAATCTCAAGCGAAGAGGGTTGTATTATGCATAGAAAATTTTCCATGTGAGTATATTTAAATTAATAATTATGTTATACGTAAATGTGTAATTATTAATTCAAATTTTCTACGTTGTGTAACCCTCTTAAGTCGATCACACTACATCAAACACATTTTTTTTTATACGCGAGCAATAAATGGAGATTATTTCATCACCAATGATATTATTTTGTGCTTCTCACTTTATTTATTTACACATTTTTGAAATTTTATTATAGGAAAATAATACTGATATAGCCTGCTTAATATTGTAGTGCTTTTGTTTACTAAATGTACTGTGTAAAAACTAAAAAAAAATACTTTAACTTGTGTATGTCAATTTGTATGTCATAAAATTGTGTGTATATATTTTAAAATGATTTGCTCTTTGTATTTAGGAAACAAAATTAAGACTGTACATGCATCTACTGCAATGAAAGTATTTATTTATATACATTTTATTTTTCTCTTTAAATTTTTATGCTACCTTTTTTTGGATGAATAATACAAATATAATTTCATGCGTATATTGTCGTTTTTTTTTAACAATTAAAATGTACAAATAAATAAAAAATAAATAAGTTATTTCCTAAACTTAAAACTTTGGTGGCAATCAGGGTTTCTTTTGGGGGGGCGTGTTTGCTTTCTTTTTCGGGGGATTCTTTTTTTTGCATGGTATAGCCGTACACCTAAGTCTTTTGTTGCTGTATTTCCCTACTTTATCCATCTGCTTCCCAAAGGAAATGGGCGCCATTCGTTTGAGCAATCTGAAAATAATTCATCATTAATAACCAACTGAAGCAGCGCAAATTTTGCTGATTTGTCAAAAACTAGAAGTTTTTACAGAGCTTTTACGTCATTGTATCATAGAGTGTTATTTCGTTTTAAGGGTGTTGCACAGTTGGTATGCGTAGTCTCGAAACAGAAGCATAAATACCACCTTAAGTGCTATGGTGCGCATGCGCGTCCCAAAATAGATTTTGTGCTATTTAGACATCGTTTTGTCACCATATTATTCTAACTATGACGTCATCCAAGACGAAGAACTTGTTATTCAACCTTTTAAATTGATTGGGTGCATATTTACAGTTATAAATCAAGTAATGAATGACACAAAAGCTTGTATGTGTCAAAATTAATGCAAAATTGCGGAAATCAAAAGGTAAAACATTTACTTACTTTACGAATCTGTTATCTTGTATATTGAAAGCTCGTGCTGTTTTCTCCAATTCGCAAGCAAATCTCTCGGCGCAGTCCTTTCCCTCTATCGCTTGTAAAGCAACTCTGGCGATATCAGTGATGCGTTCGTTTTTTTTATTAGCTCCCGCCTTAATAGCGCCTTTGGGTTTCTTGATGCCAAACTTGGGAAAAACCAGTACCGATAGCACGAACATCACAGCCATACCAATAAATCCGGAAATCGCCATAAATAACGGTTCTAATGCTTTTTTGTCTTTCTTTTCTGGTGCCACTTCTTTCGTCGACGTTATTTTAACGTTGTGCTAAAAGTATAAGTTGTTGTTTAATATTTATATGTTGTTCTAGGGGTCAATACCTGATGCGTGTGAGAATGATATTGGAAATGAGGTTTTTCTGTGGTGGTGCGTTTAGTGTCATGAGGACTTGGTTTACTGTAATAGTATTCATGCTGAAATACCGTATCTTAGCGATTATCGTAGATTGTATCACATTTTACTTACGGAAGATGACTGGGACGTCATTTCGTCTAAAAAACTTTTAACGGGGTAATAATAGTAGTAATAACCGGAGACGTCATCGCCGCTACTGGTACTCGATGGAGGTGTTTTATGCTCATGGTTGTAACTTGCAGCTGGAGACTCGTCTAGTTCGTGAACTGCCGCATGAATATACGTGTTGTCACCGGCATCTAACTTGACGGTGTCGCCTTTAGACACAGCTGCTTCATACAGGGCCGCTAACTCGCCTTTAGTTAACGATAAAGGCGGCACGCTCTTGTTATTCTGGATTCTTCTTTCAGCTATTTTCGTCGGAGGCGGCGCTGTGGGTTCGTTTTCTGGTACTAATTCTTGCACTACTTGTGTGTCTACCCTTTTCAAGGTTTGTCTACCTTTCATATATCGTAGATCTCTTATGGCATTTTGAAGATATTGAGCACCTTCTTCGGCTTGTATTAGACGAATGCTGGTTACTACCAAAAAAGATATGATGAAGAGCCGCATTCTGAAACCAAAGATAGCATGTCAGCAAAAGAGCACCGGTGGTACTACCTACTTCTAGTTCGCTAAGTCTAAATATAGTACACGAGACCACTTAAACAAGCTTCAATTTTCAGTGATTTGATGAAATGTCCCATTACAAAGTTTTTTTAAGTTTTTAAATTGCGTAAGTACTCGGTACTTAACTAGGTTTGTATTTGTTATAGCGACAAGTAATCTACTCTATAAATCGCTGCGGAATTTTTATTAAAAGAATACAAACAACTTGCCTACTTAACTATAGTAGTTAGCGAAGACGTGTTATTTATGTTTTTACAACTTTGTAAATATTCAGATTGGTTTTGTAAATGTTAACAATTATGCTAGAAACCTCTTTACCGAAGCAAACCAAACAACCAAACCAGTAAATATGCATTTATGCGAACTATTTACGCGTAAGGATTAAAAAAGCTACCAAATCAGCCATCTTTAAATTTTTGTTTCAAGAAATCGTGATATTTTTAAAGACGTTGGTGAAGAAATGCAGCTGAATTGAGATTATAAATGAGGACTACATTTTTAATGGGGAATACGATCAATATATCATAGTGACAACGTGGGAACACCCGAACGAGAGAGACAGATATATCCAATATTAGAAAAATTAACTACAACTAATATGCGGTCAACTTATTTAGAGATTATTACAACTGATGATACAGATTAACGAACTAAAAAACAAATTTCTAGTCATTACTAACAAATCATAGGACTTTCTTTGTTATTTGCATCGGCAAAAAGGAATTATACACGACAAGAGTGATTTTAGTTCCAGGAAATGTAGTGTCAATTATAGCAATTATCCTAAAGTTAAAGAGGTAACCCACAAAAATGAAACAGGTTATTCAAAAGACTTGAAACTAAGTAAGTATGAACAAATCTGATACTTGCGATAAGAAAGTCAGAGCAAGCCCACACGAGTTGTAGTCAAATTTAAGGAAGCATGAAACGGGGGGAGACAAGATAGAAGGGGATTTACATGCACCAAGAGGAACAAAAAATATGTTAACGCGTACGGAAAAACCTGTCGGTTAGAGCTGAGTCATCAAAAGGAAAGGACCCTATTATGTACACTGCGTATGATCAATAGCCAATTATAGTTATTAAGTGTTACCGAAACGTGATAACCTATTGAATCAAAGAACCAAAGTCTAATATACTAACTAACTGTTTTTGCAAAATAACCGATGTATTTATTCTTGAATGTTAGTAATGAGGAAAAAAGAATCCGTCTAAATTAACACCATCCGTTAGCAAATTTTAGAACACTTTTTTCAATTTTTTTTATGACGGTTATCTTTGTAATAGTACTTTGAGTGGCAGCTTGCGTGCAAAATATGTGACAGTGAAATATGTAGGTGTACACTCATCGACAAGTACCCAGTAATTGAAAATGTTGTAATTGTAATTTGTAACATATCGCATGTCAGTAATATCAAATCGCAATCATTGGACCATGTCGCTGCAGAAAAAATGTGTTTCATCACTCGATTGTATACGGATGTGTTTAGCACACTTTAACCGGAATTTTTTCTCCACAAATTTTTCGCATTTCTTTTAATTACCCCTCTCTTAAAAACAATTATTAAATCTACGTCGCGTGACACGTGTAACAGCAATTAGATTCTAACAGGCGTAATATTCATATTATGATCGTCCACAAACGTAATCCTTAATTTGCAAAGTTCAACGACATTAAAAACACAATTAATCTTCGTCGAGAGCAAACAAATTTAAGTGATGAGTTCAAATAGTGTTTATCATCACCATTTTACGGAAAAGCATTATTATGCTCCACTAAATTTTGAACAATATCTTTTCGAAACCGTGACACGAAAATATTGAAGAGCTCGCATCAAATATGTGCCATTGTAATCGTACCTACATATTTGAATTAAGACAGTAATAACGTGAACGTACGTATCATTAGCATCATGTGCCCTTACACAAATCAACATAATGTACAAAAGTGAATTATATGCAGTTATACATCAAATTTTTTGTTCTCGGCTGGCCTTGATTACATTTTTTTTAATTATCTTTTCAGTGGAACAACAGGTAATTGCAGTTCGTGTACAAATTTGAACTATTGTTTAGTTAATGAAGCAACGGACAAACAGACAATTACGTATGAATCGGTAAAAACATACGACGCGTTGTCACAAATTTTGAATATGTCCCATTTCAGACCCGTGTGGATTCGCGCCAAATTCAAACGCTAAATCAATTATTTATGCTGCGTTAATGGCGGTAAAGTTTAAATCCAGCTACGCGCGTATTGACATTGCATTAATTAGAAACATGATTTAGACATTACCAAATTGGTTAAATTTTCTACCAATTTATACTCTACGAATGCCAGTTTATGAATGTAAATAGCGCACAAGGTTTTAGTAATGGTAAAATTATCAGCGAAACTGGTACTCTCTTCAAGATCGTTTCTTTGATTAAAAAAGTCCGCAATTACGCAAGAATGGCGAATTTATGCTAAATTAAAATTCTGGCACCGAATAATGTGTTTTTATCAACACTTATCTCTTTTCCAAGTAGCTGCTGAAATCTAGATTTTGATCCCTCTGTCAGTACCGTTAAAACCATCAGACCCAGTTTTATAAGTGAGAATAAGAATCAATAAAGCCGTGTGGCTGCATTTGTTAAGTCTTTTAAAATTATTCATGCTTAATAAAGTGATGGGCAACAAAAAATGATGTATTTATCCAACTATACGTTCACAACACATCTGTGCCAAGTGCCAATTTTTATTCATTATCTAAGATCGTAACTGTAAAATATATTTGGAATAATTCATTCCCACACTGCCTTACATTTCTTTTGTTGATTAACATAGAACCACTGTAATGATTTTACTAATCTTTTGTTAACGAAAGTAACGAAAGTTGGAGTATTTAAAAAAACATAAGTGCACCTAACCTGGATAACAACGTGAGCAGATTCAACCACCATGAAAACCCACATTCATACTTTTTTCCTTTTTGTACATTTCTTCGACTTTTATTTTAGAAACCAAAATTTTAAGTGGAACGTTGTTCGGCACATAATTATTCACTATAGTCCCGTTTTGGAATTATAATTCCAATCCGCATAAACCAGTGAAAAAAGTTCTAAACTTAACCACATTTATTTTATCTGACAAATCCAAATCCGTTATTAATTTTCTAGAAACAGGTCCCATCGTATAATTAAACACATAAAATTTGTTATGTTATTCCCAGATACTATGCTCATGATTACTATTATTACTAATATCGTTAGCAACACCATCATTAGTAATATATGCCTTAACATAGTTAATAACGTCAATACTGATAATAATGGTAAACTAGGAAAGGCAAAAATAGGTACTCCCTGTATCATTAAATTAATTTCTGCTAGCGAATAAAACTAGTCAACGCTAATAAACCGTGTTTATCTGAAGTAAGAAATAATTAATACCAAATAATATCAAAGTACATTTTAATACGACCTAGGGAAGATGTTACTTAATTACTGCTCGTAAATAAATAATAAAATTATCACTTCTAGTGAATGTGATTAACTGATGTAACAAAAATATTTACAACGTTAATCTAAGCGGAAAAGGGACCAGTGTTCTAAGCTCTGATTAAACGATCAAAGTGTTTACTTACGTACATTGATGATAAATCCTTTAAATAAGCAAGGTGTTGTTAACACCACCACATCGGATCAAAACATCGAGGAACTGTGTATACGTACAAAATCGCGACTCATACTGAAGTTACTTGGACGGTTTTGAGTTGAACCGCATTTTAAGTCTTGTACCGTTACATATAAACAAATCATACACATTTATTCGTTTATTAAAGCGTGAATATGAGATATATGCCTTGTGACACCGACACTATTTGTCCTGTACAATCACATAATAATGGTGGAAAGCAAAAAACGACTCGTCGATCTACATAATCCCAATTAGCATAATAGCATAAATACCAAGCGGAGAGTTACGAGGTCCAGATGCCGGTATTCCGAATTAATTTTTGTTGTTTTTGTTTGCTAATTACGTTTGTACAGGTTTTTGCCTTAGCGACTGTTTTGTGCGATTTTGTTTTTAGTGAATTCGTTTTTTTTTTGCTTCCTTGTTTGCGTCCTGTTATCTCAGAATTTTGTTTTGTTGCATAATTATTTCAGCACGTGAAGTTCATGCTCTTGTATTCGCTTGATTCCACAAAGTCGTTGTGACAGGCGGGGTCAAAATGCCCTACTGACCAACATTAAACTCGTCTGTCAACTTGTTGGTTCTTTATCGATACGTTTGGGCATTAGTTGAATTGGGAATAAACAAAATGTATTGGCGAATACTCTACACTCTATAAATGTAATTTATTGTGTAAAAATTATTATTATCACCATTATTATTACTATTAATAAATATTATTTGCAGATAAAATGATTTTGCAATTTTTGCTAATAAATAAACAATATGCTCTTGACAAATAATGTGGTAGTGTAGAAGCAACCGCAGTCTCTAACCACATATAACTTTAGGCTATATTTACATGTAATAGCTACTTAATTGTATTTTATACTTGACGTTTCGATTCTTGGACCTGTCATAAAATTTCAGTCTATAGTGTTTTTGTAACAAATATTAAAATCACCATTTACGAAATATTCAACACATGTACTGTCATTTGGCAACCGAAACAAAATATACTACGTGGCTAAAATTTGGAAGTGATGTCGCATATAAAATTACTTATTTTACGACAATTTTACGATTTACAGTTACTTATAAATAAACCAGCTCGGACAACCACCGCGTTCTTAAAAACCAATTACATACTACCACTCGGTTCGGATCATTGGCACTTCAAACATCTTTTCATCTTCAGATTTAAAACAAAAAATCGAAAACTTTAAAAACGAATCATTTCTCAAGAGATAGTAACGCAGATGTTATATATCAGTTATAAAAATGTTACTTCTTTTTGTAATATAACTGCATCAGAAATATAATTATATCAAAGTTCTGTTACTATAATAAACACGACAACGAAATTACAATTATGTAACGGAAGCTGTGCAACTACGTTTATTTTTACTCTAGAAATCGAAGATTTTGATTAATAACATGTTAATTATGTGTAAGTCGTGGTACTAACTAGAACAGGATTTACAACACTGTACTAAAGTATGTATTTAATTAAACTAAACTTTAAAAATGACTCAAAATGAATTTTACTGACACTATACATGCGTACATTATGGAACTTTCACCATATTTTTACAGCTGACGAACGTGCTAAGGAAATAACCTCAAATGAATAGGTACCGTTCATTTACTCATTTTTGCAACCGACGAACAGAATTAAAAATTTTTGAAGCAACAGCTTTCAAAGTGAAACAATAATCAGTATGAGCTAGTCAAATCCGAATAATAAGCAAGTTTATACTGACAACGTGCCAGAGAGTTCTTATGTATCAACTGTATCATCGACACATAATAGGGCTCCTTTTTATGGAATCGAGAATATTTTGATTTAGATTTGATTGTGAATAACCCACTGTAATTGGCAACACTGTCTCGACAAGGGTTAAATGTCACTCTGATGAGCAATTTAATTAATCACAAAGGACACTGTGAGGTTATTAGTATGAAATTATATTCATTTTTAATTGCTACAAGTTGATTCTGGAATTAAATTTATACAAATTCAAGTATAACCAATCGAAAATGAAAAAAATATGCCGCAGGAAGTACCTTTTTGTAGTAGAGTATGACTTTCACTTTTTAGCTCCAAGTTCTCTTAACTTCTGAGATTATACGGTTTAACATATTGTATTATGTTTGAAGTGTATAGCTAATCCTGAAAGAAAAACATTTAGACTGACATTGTTTGACTTCATTATGAGAATGTTGGTAAACAATAACACACGTGCGAATTTAGCGGCTGGAAAATGGGAAACATCTGAAATGTCGTCTTGTGGCTTAGGCTACAAGAATTAAATGACAGAATAATATTGTTTCTGGAGCTGAGACAGGCTTACCAACCCTGAACAATAAGGTGAGAAATTTGTCATCTGCGTACAACATGAGCACAACAGGTTAAAAATTTTAGTTTTTTGAAATTTATTGTTCTATTGATATACTATTCAATATTTATTACACATAGTTTACGCCTTCTCCAATAACAATAATATTGTACTAATTAGAAGGTTATAGGTTACTGCGATAAATTAGATTTATTTATTTATACGTTGTATACATTGTTGTAACTATGACTGTGATTCTTAACTTAACTTTAGTTGCACATTTTGATTTTTTTTTTCAGAAAAAAACATAATTACTTTTAACTAGAAAGTATGTTTGTTGCTCACAGTCAAAGTGTGCTGTAAGTAGGCATAAGAAATTATAACTGTGTTTGGCTTTGTATCTAGCTAGTTTTTTGGTTTTACAATTCATTAATTATTTTTGATGGTTCGTATAAGGAAGAATAATAATCACTAATTAAGAGACTTTGTTTAGCAAGCACCAATATGTACTTCGTCAGTGATGCATTTATTTATTCGTCTTGTTGCGCATAGAAACAGATGCACTTAGATGTACAGTTGTTTCAAATTTTAATGTCGCCTTTAGTTACGAAGCAGTTATGTCAATAAATATTTTTATTTTGATCATACGCGTACGCGTACACTTAAAGGTTTCCTTTCAATTCTTCGGTGTAATAAAGAGCTTGATATTCCTCAGACGGTAGGTTATCATCGTGCACACCTCATTAATTCACATCACAGCTATGTAGGTATGCTAATGAATACTATACTTACATAATTTTAAAAAGATTACATAAATCACTTTTTAGTTTTTATTAATTATCAAACGTCCAATATTACCAACCTAGTTATCCATATACACAAAACATCACAAAACTTGTTCAAACTATATATCCTGCGAATGTCGTAAGCAAACTAAACTTAAATCGCATCAAAGAACCTGTTGAAGACGAGAAGTAATATTAAAGAGTAACTAACTGTCTTGCAAATACAGCCGCGAGATATACTCTGGCCAACTTTTTAAAGTCCATTCTCAAATTTTTCGCCTAATTGCCAACAAGTTATTGTATGTGTGATCATTTTTGAGTTTTTTACTTGCGTTAAACAACATTTTACTGACCAAAATTGTTACCAAACAAGCAGAAAATCACTAATAAAATAGAACTTCAAAATTAGAACAAAAAAATCAACGGAAAGTTTACAATCAAAATGACGCATTTTAAAAGCCACCAATCCAGTTAGATCAAATCATGTTTTTTAGCGTGAACAGGTGCAATTTTCAAAAAGTTGCGTCATTTAGGGTAAATATGCAATATCAAATTTTTCAGAATTTTTTGTCACTGAATTTTGATAATTGGAAACAGTTTTGGGAAATTAAAATAAATTAGTAGCGACTTATACATGAACCAGTCGAATTTGCACCGTAAAGATGTAGCGGTCTGAATAATAAATTAGATTAAGTCTTCACGCCGTCTGCTGATGATTGACATATCTAGTTCTAATCATAGTTGCACAGTTTTGAATTTGCCATTTTTTTGTCCGGTAGAATAAAAAAAGTGATTAGTAATGGTGCTCTCTGAAACCATACAGACAGGTTTATTTTTCAAACTTCGACATCGAAATTTTTATCTCGAGGTAGTAATTACCCGAACAAACTAAAAACACAAAATTATAGGTTTTACGCAGTTGTAAAAACGACTTCATTGATAGATATTGAATTTCGCGCCACAGTTTGACATTTGCTTTGCAACCAGTGGGAACTTATTGTTGTTTTCTTATCACCCCACATGAGCTACTCAAAATTCTACTTCCATACAAAACTAGCATATTTTCTTTGATTATGTAGAACTTTATTCCTATTTATTTAGTAGTGGTAGCATTATATCTTTGGATGTTTAAGTGTTGTATAGATACTTTTGCTGCAATTTTGGTTATTTATTTTTTTCTGTGTTGAATACAATACAGTTAAACAGAAGTTGTTTATTCGCATATAAAATTCTTTCGAAATCAAGTACACGTGATAAAATGGTTAAATTTAATATAACCCAGTGTCGAAATTTACATGGAAAATTAACACTACACAAAATTTTGAGATTACAGTAAAGCAATGAAGAAAGTGGAATCCTTGCTTCTTGATAAGACTATTAAGTAGCCGTCCTCGCTTTGTCAATAAGATATTACAACATTTATCTCCTTTCATGCTTAAATTCACTTTGTCCAAAGTGAAAAAACATACATTCGTTTCTTTACTTAAAAGTACATATATAATATTAAATAAATATTAAGTTACAATTGAATAAAGACAGTACAATTTTCTAGAAAATAAATTAACACACAGACACACAAAATCACACCTTGCTTCAGGGAAAAATTCTAAAACGAAAATTTCCTCTTTGGTTCCGCTTTGGTCCAAACTCCAAATCGCGCAAATAAAATACTGCTAACTTTTATCACTATTGCCAAATCCGCTACATACAACCACAACTATCCACTATCATATTTGGTAGAAGGTCCTTCTTCACAGTGTTGTTGTTGGACTTGTAAATTAGCTGCAATGGCTGGAACTGCGTCGCTGCACAGCACGGGGTATATTCTGGTCTAGACCCTCTGCTCTTACTTTGCCCATACATAACTTTCTGAAATCGCAAAAATTAAAAATAGTGTCATCGTCGACAAAATGAGGACTTACACGTAAGATATTGTTATGTTGCGTCGCACTTAGGGCTAAGGCTGTAGCTGTGACGCAGGAGCCTTTGCAAAAATAGGCGTTGTAGCCTTCTGGTCCCAGGATCCAGTCGTCCCAGCCGATATCTGCGAAGGAGACGTAGAAGCTTTCTCTGCAACACTCGCCGACACCGACACCACAGTTGATTTGTCTTTTGGGTCTACGGTGGAGAGCCCTTCTTTGCTGGGAGTGGGTGTATATAACCAAAAAAGGCTTCAGTTTTGCAGAGAAGGAGATCGGAGATTGGTTCTTGTCCATTCCACAAGTTTTGCAGGCCACGCTGATAGCATGAGTTGGAGAATCCTGATAATCCAGCCAATTTTTCACCACAAAAGTCACGTCGACCTTTAGCCAACCCTCTATAAAAATAATCAAGCGATAATGATACGGATATACCACACGCTGGCAAAGGTTAAATAAATAAGAAGGAGGTTAAAGTTGAAGATTTTGCATATTTTGAGTTTAGAGTGTTTGCGAAATTACCTGTAAGACTTGTTTCTTGAATGGCGATGGGCTTGGTTTTTTGGAAGCTCCTGTTCGTGTCCCAGTGGGCCACTTCCGATACTACGATTGTTTGATTGTGGGAGTCTAGATTATCTGGCACTTTATGGAACCAAAGTTCAACTAAGCTTACATCAGTTGCGTGAATGTCGTTTGGCATTTGGAAGGGAACACAAGCCGAAGGGAAACGAATCTTCCTTAGACATTTAGCTTCATCTGAAACCAAGACTTCTGTTAGTACGTGCTCCTACCTAGTCAGTGTTTTAAACAGATGTACGATAATGCATACACACTGATTACAAAATTTGTAAATATTATTAAGTTCATAGTAAATTATAGTAAACATTACTAATTAATAAGTAAGAGCGGTATTTCAGGGTTATTAACACATTTTTTCTATAGTAAGATCAGTTTTATTAATAAACATATTAACAAAATATCAACAACTGTATTTTCTCGGATTTTGACTATTCCACTGGGCTTTTTTCGGCTTTTGCAACGTCCCCTATAAGGAAAATTTCCTATTGACAATATTTGTAAAATAATTGGCATCAAAATGCTAGTTAGTAGAAAATTTATCTCGTTGATAATAAGGTTATATGTGTAAACGGATACAATTGTTTATTGGGATTCCAAGTGGAATTTCGAACTGTGACACTTGTTTACAGTAAAAAGAACAAAGTGCAAGAACACATACCTTCGTAAGGAAAAATAATAGCTTGCGTTGTTTTTCCGTAGAAATCGTCCGAGTAACCACCTAGCGAATTGTCATCTTGGTCAGGTATCAGATTATCGTTCTCTTTCAAGGGTTGTGGAAGCTCGGCGAAAGCAATGCTCGGTTTTTCTTTCAATCTGAGCTTTTTCAGAATTTGGTTCTTGATGTATTCGATCCTCAGCGCGTTGAATTCCTTCTCACTAACTGAATAAGGACTCACAAGTGGAACTTCCACTTCATTCGTCTTTTTCATGATGTTGTTTTCCGCGGACGGATTTTCCGCCGGTACGAAAATTTCACTGAAAACTGAACGTAAACTTCGCGGCCCACTCTCAATTTGTACGATCAACGATGTTAAGAATAACACCAAAATAACGTCTTTGGTGCCCATTATTGATTTTGTGTACTAACGACACTTGCTTGTTTACAGATGATTTAAACTAGATTGTTGCTGAGAACTGCACTCTTAAAACACATCGTTTTGATTCCCCACTCTCAAGTTCTTAGCATTTCTGTAACGGATGATAGAAATGAACCTTGAACCTGAGGTTCTATCAAAACTAGAGTAGCCGTTATGTCAAATTTAAATGATATATCGTACGGAGATCGAGCACGTGGACAATCGTTTGAAAATCTAATCACCTTACGTAATTCTTTAGATTTTTTATAACTTCAGCAAACACGAGGTCAATCATTGTCTATAGAGCTCACTTCCATGTTTCTTGCATCATATAAAAGTGATGGAGCATTTTTAAATAAAGCGACTAAAATGAAATCCATTCATATTTCAAATAATTATCGGACGTGTTAAAACTTCGCCAATTTAATGCTCGTGTGCTTAAAAGAAGATAAAAAAAATAAATAAAAGAGACTTAATCATGAAGCGGATAATTTTTAAACTTTTGTTAATCTATTTAAATAACATTCCGTTGATGATGTAAGTTTCGTTAACTCAAACACACATTTGGAATACTGTAAAAATAAAGGTCCTTTGAATGTTCCTTGAGGAACACTCCACTGCGTGTTTTTTATAAATCGGTGTCTCTTATGTAACAACTCATCAATTTTATTTTACAAAACGGTGTAAAGTACATCGATCCTAGGCCTTGCACAACGAAACAAGGTTAGTGACAGTCGATCTTCGAACTATAAATCCATGTTAGTAAACAGATATAAATTTTGATACGTAGCTATATACCACAATGCAAAATAAAAATAAATTTTGATTCTTGTAACATGGGTAACTACAGTGTCAAGTGGTTACATAGATTTTATTTTATCGGTATTTTTGTGACCATCACATACATTCTCATTCTGCACGGCCGTATTTAAATTGAAGTGTTTATATCAAATTAACTTATTTTTCAATATTATCATTAACACTTGTTATCATATACGATTAATTGTCAAAGCGACCAAAATATTTAACAAATTATTTTCCAACGTGAACTGTATTAAGTGTAAGATTGAACAACTTCCAAGATTTATGATGATAATTAGGAGATTGTGGATACAATGAAAAGTACAATTGCTACTCCAAACCGACACTACTTCTGGTTTGGTGCGAAAAATATATGACTTGTTGTTATGATGAAATCTGAATCCCCAATACTCAAATTATCATAAAATTTTTATTATTTTCGTGACACGTTTTGTAATTGCTAATTATTTTTCTTTATCTTTTCTTTTATTTACATATTTTCAGATTTTTTCCAAGTTTAAACCTCACACAATAATAAAAAACTAATCGGTGCTTAACCTATGATTATTTCAAGAATGTTATTGTTTACGAAAGTTTTGAACAATTTCAAAACACAATGATTTTAAATCTGTATGAAAAATATTTTATTTTTTTAAAATAATAAAGAAATATAAAATGAAATATCTTGGAAAAGAAAGGAATGTCCTTTAATCTCTCAAGAGGGATTACAATATCAAAAACATGCGGTAAAAGTGTGCTTGCTTGGCAGAGGAGGTTACGGGTCACTTGCTTGACATTTCTATCTTAATAAAATTTCAATTTAGCCGCACATATTTTAAAAAATGTAATCAAATAATCGACGTATTATTAAGTACGACGAAAATTTCGTAACTAGATTAAATTTCAGGTCATTAGGTTCAAGTATGGAATTCCAATTAATTAGTGAAATCAATATCAATCACATATTGTAAAAATTTTCACGGGAAATACCATCGTGTCAAATAAATTATCCACAAAGATGCACTATAGGGCCATGATTTTAATGCATAATGTTATATTATTACAAAGACGTTATGTCCGCTGCTGATTTTCTAATAAGATACGCATAAAAATGCCCTCTAAGATTAATCCACTTCGAGATACTAATGCTATCAAAGAATTTTTTGACAAATTATATGTTCATACAGTTCAAATGATTTAATTGGAGTTTTTTCGTGATAAAATGTGATTATTTTTTAAAAAGTCTTTTTTTTTCGTTGTTATATCCATCATGTCGCCATATCATATCATATACTCCTTCACTGTTCAAGAACGGGTTATTGATAATGATAATTGGAAAAAAAGTACCATTGCGATTGTCACGTGTTGTTCCTAATATGTATGTACATATGGGTGGTTATAAACTGTCACGATAGAAACTTCATAGGTGACGATCCCGGACCTGTACTATGCCCCAAAGCTACAGTCGTGAGTCACAGTGTTATCATTATCAAATTTATTTCGCTCAAAAAAAGTTGAACTTGCCATCCCCTTAGAAAAATAGGTACTATAAATCAAAATAGCTAATCACGCTCTAAACTTCCGCGTACTAATGTTTTCTCTCTTATCATTTTCAAATTTGTAAATTTTTAATGGTAGGATTAACCCAATTCGTGCTTATCGAATGTTATCAATTTAACTCAGTTATGTTTAACAAACAATAAATAATTAAAACTTTCGAATCCAGAATGATGAAACCTTGCCATGCAGATTTATGTGTGATAATAATAACTATTCTAGGAAGTGACAGAAATACACATGAAATTGGTGGGAATAACAAACATGCATAAATACATAAATCAATAAGGTAAAAAATTCCAAAAAACGATAAAATTGTCATTTTAATAGTAAAGTAAAATTCCAATTCAAATATTTGTTGCTTTTAAAAAAATTAATTTGGCATTATAAATTATAAGTTAGAGATTATTTCAAGTTTTAGAAATTTATTTTTTCTTTACAATACATTATTAAATCACGAATAGATACTTAACAAAATTTTGAGGTGACGTCATTAAGTTTTTAGGAGGGATGAGTTACAGCGTTATATTTAAGGATACATTATACGTATCACTAAATGTATGAATAATATATTTATTCTGACTGGTCTGTGTCTAAGACAATAAACGACTAAATCAATAGAGAATCACTCTACGCATGGTTTATGCTGTTGCATATTTAGGCTATTGGAAGAAAGGAGCACACAATATACCTTCAGGTGTTTATAGTTTGTAGATAGAAAACTCAAATCATTTGAGGGTTGCCGTGTGACTCCTTTATCTAGTAATGGTATCATAAATTTGCATAAACCACTCTAAGATTATTTCTGCGTTACTTTGGTTTATTGCTTTAGTCACGCAGGCCAATTTTTAGTTGGAACACTTTATTTCGTATTGATCTCTTGTGGTATTGTTTTAAAGTAGAAGAAGCTCCAATAGATCTTTTGAACTACTATATTATTTTTACTGGTAATTTCATGACGTAGGGTTTTCGCCCTAACATAGAAGTTGTCATGACAACATTAGAACTTTTGTGTTGAAGATGTTGCGAAAGAATGCTAAAAGGATTTTTCAGCTTTTTGTGTTTTTTAGGTTTGCAGTGATCTTCTAGTTAAAATTTCTAGCAATCTTGGAGGAATTAAGAATATGTTGCATAAGTTTGTATATATCTTCTGTAGCTTTCTTGGCATGACAATATATTTCACAACACTGAAATATATGTATCTTAAAAAAGCAATAATTGGTCAATGAATCAATTTAGTTTTGTTATTATTTACATAGAAATTATTTAATCTAAAGTGGCCTCTGAAAACAATAATTTGTGTGAGGCAGGTCAACAGATTAATTGTTTTCAAAACAATTATATTTTTAAAATAACATTATATCTTAGAGATAACGGAAGGCGTAACTACTACTCAAACGAAACATTGACTCAAAATGCACTCCATATCAAAATTTAAAAGTCAAAGCTTATAAAACAGGTAGAGTAGTTATAGTGAATTTTCAGTCAAGTTAATATAAGACATTTCACGTCATGGCACGAATACTGTATAGTTATTAAATGCAGCAACACATAGCTGCATGAGTGTTCAAAGAACGAATAAAGTGCACGTTTAATGCAACCAAAGGCACCATAAACAAGCAATTCTACAGACACGTGTGCTAATCAAATATAGAAATAATTTATGTACCACAAATTCGTAGTAGTTAAAAAACGCACTTTGAGAATTGTATGCTCAAGTTATGCAGTTGATTAAAAAAATCTTTGAAGCTTTTACAGCTAAGGAAAATATCGAATTTTCAAGTTTCAGAGAGTTAGCTTGAATTTTGGCGCCAAAAATTTGCTTGAAATGAATCTGATGTCTGAACCTTGAACCCTTCGCAATCTCGACCATATTTTTCCTTCATCTAAGCGCAACCACATCAAAGCGTAAAAGACATTTTTAGCTTGACCATTTAAAATGATTTAACTTTGACATAAAAGTCAAAATAACTGATTAACTCCTGCGCAGTAGTAAATCATTAGAAGTATTCCTGTTTACTGTTTTGAATTCTACGAAGATAATGATTGCAATTTGTTTTAAAAATGATACAGCAGTTGTGAACTCTACACTCTATACCACGCTTATTACTTAAAATAAACCTTCTCGTAAATACGCAGTTCTATAATTAAGATTTTTGAGTCAAATTAAAAAAATCACTTTGGGCACTTCGTCGGTCCTTCGTTTTTAAGACTGCTTTATTTAGTTTGTTGTGTTGCAAATTTTAAGGTTTTGTAATTCGTTGATGGTTAAAATCTAAGCAAACAGATTTGCCATCCAAGGAACATTCTGTACCGACATTACGAAAGTGATTCCCGGATTGCATCATGCTTCCTTATTTTGTACTTTTTAAAATTTTTTTCTAAAATTTTAATGCACACTATATATAGATATAGATTGTCGTTGACAGTAATCAACCGATTAGAATCAAAACTAAAACGTACTTTATTCTTCTATGTTAATTTGTTTAAAACAGGTATGATAAGAACTTGGACGCGTGGAACATCGGAGATATATATGTTAAGTCGCGTGCTAGCACATTGTAAAGATTCTTTATTAGGTCGCAGGTCAAGGAATGCTCCAAAAGGTGATCTAGATGTCATAATCTTTTAACATGCATATTAATCAGGAATGACAGCTCATTTGTTAAACCATAGTAAAATATCTAACATGTTTCCACTTAATATATATTTGGCGCAATTAATTTAAATTTGTTTGTTTAAAGTCATGCACGCTTATTTTTTATCGGGAGATTGTGGAGAAAGGCTTCACCGCATGATCAACGGAACTTTTCTATTTATTATAGTCTTACGATTGCAGATTATTAACGAAAAAAAAGAGATGGAGAGAGCGAAGAAAATATGCGCAAATTGTGTAATGGCGTTAGGTGCAAGCGTGATTACACATAATTTAATGATTTAATTTGACAGTGAACGGAATCTTTGACATGCGTGTTCTACATGGTTTTTAAAATTCCACAGTTTTTAAGGTCTATGATGATACGATTAACTTGGCAAATTACGTAAATGGCCATTTACGACATCGCCCAACTTTCTGACAGCAATGCAATTAACACGATTATCGGTTTTGATGACTAGTTCGACGTTTTAGATACATAAATACACTGTTATCATTTTAAATATCTTTCGTCCAGCAGGTTTTATCAAGATTTTTGAATTTACCAGGTTTTATTTTGTAAGTTATGCAACCAACTATGGAACTAAGTACAGAGGAAACAAAGTAGTTGAGTAAAGAACAGGTTTGTACTGGGGCAACAATAAATCAACAAATGGAACTATGTTTCTTTAATAATTCTACTAAACACTGTTTAATAATACTCAAAGTACAAACTGCACAATTTATTATTGATAGGAAAATGTTAAAATGTGTAAAACTTAAACAAAGTAATATAATCATATAAAATTAGTAGAATTAAAAACCATATCACATTTTCATATTTATTATTAATAAAGAACAAAGGTTTCTGAACAATATTTGATTTTGTTGACAAAAACATTCTTCTAGGTAATAATTGAATTAACTGCATATAACTTAAATACAACACCTCCAATATTTATTGTAACTCAATTGTAAGCACAGCACACCAACGTAACCAATATATGTATGTAATAGCTATCACTTCGAGAATTCTATACAATATTGTATAAAATTTGTATGTTCCTAAGTCGAATATTAAAATTTTGTCAAAATAAAACATATAACAGCGATCAAGAAACTAATATGCTTATTATATATGCTATTAGAGTAGATTGCATTGAACAAGCTACTGATATATCACTTATTTAGAAATAATACGAGATTATGAACTGGACGTACTTCCGCTCAAGTTTTAAGTAATGAAAATCTGAAAGTGTTGGGAATGTGGTGATCTGTTAGTATCACAAAACGTTATTATGGACAGCACATAAATCGACAGGTAGTGAGATTCATCTGGTTAAAACTAAGCCCGCCATTTTAACTTTTCGGCCAAACAACATTCAAAAGTTGAAGAATGTTACCGATCAACGAACATTTTTACAACCATATTTAAAATCACCTGTCAATTTATTTACTTGTAGAACTTGCTTTACATAGAACGGCAAGCTAAATCGGTTCACCACCTTATTTGAACACGCTCAAATTAAGCACTTTTTTGACTGTCAAACTTCAATGTGACGTCATTCATAATAACCTAGAAAGTTGAAATCTTAAGTGTTTGTTAATGACGCCCCTTTGCTGCTGTTAAATAAAAGAAAATGCATTTTAAAAATCCTTACAATTACTTCTAATCTTTCTATGTATCACCATTGCGTGATGTTAGTTTAAAATGTATTTAAGACTTACGGTAAAATTTTTGACAATTCTTAGGTACTTAATTATTAAATCTATTCTGTCTAAAACTTGCCTTTAAAATATGAACCCTTCCATTTTATAACCTGTATGTCTATTCTAACCATATTAATTTATGTAAGATACATCTATGCATTTAAAGAAAAATGGTGAACGACGTTTGGCCTTTGCTTGCTCTAGCATAACCTACAGTGGTAGAATAATAGATTCAATCAGACTATCACCACTTAAAACCAAGTAAACTTAAAATAAACAGACCGCTATCTATATCTATATACACAGTCATCTCATCTAGCTAAGTAATAGCTACATCTATAGCTGTTACTAGCTGAATGAGTTTCACAGCCACACTCCATTCACGCCCGTTCATAGACAGTTCAGATCACAGTGTTTCACTATCAGTTGCAAGGCACTGGCTGTCAATTGGTCTCGTAACTGGTGAGCAGAGCAGCGTCGACAGGCTCCATACAGCTCGGGCATGTCAAGCTGCGCATAAGCCAATCATCAATGCAACTCATGTGGTAAGTGTGCATGCAGGGGAGGTAGCGCAGGGCATCGCCTACGAGAAACTCGACCATGCAGATCACACACTCCCTGGCCTTCTTGCACCCGTCATACATGCCCGTGGGCAGGTGCTGAATAAGCCCAATGCGTTTAGCGATCTTCACTTGCTCCTCTTCAGTCAGCTGCGCCACTGACCGCGTCACGCTGGGCGATGGATGGTAGACGGGGGAGGCGGCTTGGATAGGGAGTGTTTCCTTAAAAAACGACGTAAACTAACCCAAACTCGAATTCAGGGGAACTACACACAAGTTGTACTTTTGGCAAAAAAACATAGACTGAATTGTAATGAGCATAAAATTTGTGCAAATGCGTGGTTTGTAAATTAATGAAATTGACAGACGCTTTTCCTAAAGGCCCACAATAGAACGGAACTTCTAGGATCAACAATGTGGTTATGTTAAGAAGCATTTGCACAAATAAAACGTGGGATGTTTTTGGGTTTGTGGGTATCCCCTGGATGAAGGAATTGTTCCTTGAATTTCCAGAAGCTCAACTTGTATGTGGTGACCCGATGTGTTCTACATACCTGGTAATTGGGAGGCCCCAGCTGGTCTGAGGACGATTCGCGGACGCTGTCGCTGCCTCTCAACAACGAAATATCATCAGTTGTTGACCGTTTCAAGCAGTTACCCATCGTATTTATGCTTGTCACGCATTTATACCATTTGCATTCCTAACACCACATTTTCGAAAATTGCTAGCTTTCTCCAACATGGAGGCTTCCGGGCGCCTATTCCGAGGAATACTTCCCGAACTATTTGCAAAAATATTGACACATAAATATTAACAATGGAGTTACCTTGCCAACCACAATTACCATTTTTATTCTTTTTTTTCTAATTTAACACTGTCGGTTGTCAAATTCGGCCAGTGTGCTGACCTCTGGTACTAATTTAAATAACTTCCAAATTTACTTCTCACTACATCAAGATTACCAAACACAAAGACGCAAAATCAAGCAATTATGTTTTCGCATAAACATCGATGCGTCATCAGCATTATCATTGTTCACTGCCTCAAACACACACTGGATCAACAGCAAACGTCAAAACAAAATTGACATTCATCAGCTGAGCATAATCAACATCAGCTGTCAAATTACAAACACGCGATCGCATTACGAGCTAATGAAAGGTCTCGGCGGCTACGCACGTATCGAATGAATAGTAAACGTGTAAACGAATCATGGATCAGGCAGTATTTAGAAATCTAACGAAAAAAAGTTATTTTGATATTGTGCAATCAAGATCAACACACAATGCGCTTCACGCCACGCACATTGCGCATGTTTTGTTGTTCTCATTTCATTACCACGAACTTTTTTTGTAATGCGTGCGTAGCCGTCCCAGAAGCCCGAATCATCACGCGCGAAATAGTACGGCTACACTTAAAAACACCAATACTATAGAACTTTCGAAAATGTATACAGGAAATAATGCGTTTAATCTAAATATGTATTTGCGGTAGCTGTATGACCCTGAAAGGTACGGAAGCGTGGATTGTAGCAGCGACGGGGAAATTTTTTCTTCTGTGGTGAAGGTTATCAAAATTAAACAAAATCGCGGTTTTTGATGGATTTTGAGTTCTACACCATGCTGCTGATATTACATCGAACGGCATTATGTAACCACACGAAATAAGAAAGCAGGCAGTTGTATTTTGTCCCGATTTTCTTAAACTTTTTTATTCTTTACCTTATTTTGAGGTACCTTGGTAAATCTATTGAGTTGTTTTCCTTGCAGTTGAGACAAGTACCTCTTTTTTGTTGCGATATGGTTAATTATTATTGATAATAATGATGTCCCAAAAGTAATATAAAAGACACATTTTTTTTATTATATGTTATGTGTCTCAGCAACTAAACATCCCTATGTGCCTCAAAATTTTTAATATTTTGTGCAACACCTTCAAGACCTGACAACAGTTGTGGTCTTAATGTTTTAGTGTTCCCAAGATTCTAAGAGCTTTCCTTTAAAATTTAGACATTGTTACGTTGTGCAGGCGATTTAAATTGGCGTAGGTAAAACTCAACAATTTATTTCTAATAACTCGTATTTTCACGACTAACTATTAGAGCGATTATGTACAGAATAACTCCGTGGTGCGACTTGCTGACTCTTCGTAACATTCGCTGGACATGTGGTTCGACTGAATAATGGTTTCTATTTAAATCCCTGCATTTTTCTAGATGGATCCCGATCGCCGCTTCTAGTACTTGCTAAGATAAAACTTATTTTCAAATGACATATCCTTTAGGAAAATAGAGGGTGGGTGGGCGGGGCTAGTACCTGCTAAGATAAGAATGATTTTGGCAAATGAGATACCCGCTAACAAAAGAGAGGGCGGGTGGGCGGGGCTAGTACCTGCTAAAATAAGAACTAAAACTTTTATTACTAGTTATTGTGAAAATGAATGTGTTGTTTAGTTGTTAAACGTAGCAAAAGAACCAAATTTAAAATCATTATAACTCCACCAAAATGTGAGAAGGATTTTTTTTACTGTTTCACAAACTCACCAGTTATTGTTAAAAGCGTACCGGAGCGTTTATTCGCCATTTTCCAGACACCCAGTATATTAAAACAAATATGTCACATAAGTAATGCCAATGTTTGTCTATAACATCGAGCTTTTTTATAAGTCTTACCATTTGCCAGAATCAGTCTTACCTTAACGAGTACTTGCCCCGCCCACCCACCCTCTCTTTTCTTAGAAGGTATCTCATCTGCCAAAATCACTTTTATCTTGGCAGATACTAGCCCCGCCCACCCGCTCTCTCTCTCCTTGAATGAAATATCTGGTTTTTCTTTTGTCAACAATTCTTCTATAATAATCGTCTAGTATTACATTTATTTTCAGTCTGAAGTCTAACCTAAAGTAAAAATTCTTCCTAAAAAATAAATCTCAGGAAGTAATGTAATCGAGACCATCGCCCTAGAGTATGAAGAAATAGGCCTCCCGTTTCTGTCTGTCTGTCTGTCTGTCTATCTGTTTGTCTGTTTGTTGTCTATCCGGATTTTTATCAGACAGATAATTTTATAAACTTATAATTTTTGGAAAAATCAGTCTTATATTAGCAAACACTAGCCCCGCCCACCCACCCTCTATTTTCCTAAAGGATATGTCATTTGAAAATAAGTTTTATCTTAGCAAGTACTATATTCTGCCTTTTCTTTTTCTTAATATACATAGCCATCTTTTCACAACAAAAAACTTAGAACATGGGTAAAATTGTACATTTCTTGCAAGGAAATATTGATTTTCAATTATGGGGCGGAGCCTAATTGCGAAATCCATATTTCCTTATTATACAAATTTTCCATTTTAAACACGTTTTAAGTTCCATGTTGTGAAAAGAAGTCTACAGATAATAAATGAAAAAGGAAAAATTTAAGCCCGCCCACCCACCCTATCTCCATTGTGATGATTTTTTTTTTATTCGCCGTGAACCAAGGGGACAGAGCGTAACTGCAAAATACTTACTTCTTTACAAGAAATTAAAAACACGTTTTTGAGTATCGTGTTGTTCAAAGAATACTACGTACATTAAGAAAAAAAAGGCAAAATATAAACCCCGCCCACCCACCCCATCTCAATTGTAAAATTTATTTATTCTTAGAAACTTGAAAGACGTTTATTAAAATTAAAATAGTAAGTATATAAAACAACTAAACCCGGTTTACAAAACCTCAATTAAATATTTAATTGCGATTTAATTTTTAACCCCAGTTGAAATATTGTATAAACTGGCCCTAAATTGTGTTATTCTTTATTTTTGTACTGAGTTACTAAAAAAAATTAAATGTTAAAATTATCCAAACAAATTTAATACATTTTTTTGAAAGCAAAGGAACTTTAGTTATTCCTTTTATTAAAATAAAACAAATTTTTAAGGTAGTCAGAGAAATAGAAAGAAAAACCCACTGTATGTCGCATTTATAGAACGGTTTTAGCAAAGCCGAACAGTCGGCCGACTAGTCGGTTTTTACTGGCCGAACAATCGGCTAGTCGGTTAGTCGGCCAGACCTACAGTCGGTACATCTCTAATATATATATAGATATCTATGTTTAGAATAGATGTTAAGGTTAGAGTTTGTTCTCTAAGTAAAATGTTATGCAACGCTTTTGATAGGTCAAAAAATGTATGAATTCTTTTCAAATCCAGATTGGCTTTCAGAAACTAGTTCATTTTTTCAAAGTAAGTATTTAAGTGCTTAAATGAGATTTTTTCTAGTATTTTAGAAAAAAATAAGTAAGAGAACTATTAGCCTCTAATAGCAGGGATCACTTTTATCTGCGGTTTTAAAGAGTTTCTGATGTATTTATTGTTTAAATTTGCCAAAGGTCTCAAAATAGCGATTTCCGATTTTATGATTCTTACAGTGTGATCACTCCAAAAAAGAGTAGAAATAAAAGAGGACCTAAAACAGATCCCGGAGATACCACAGATGGAATGTCACATTAACGAGAGAAAACGTTTATGTTAAAAATACAATTTTATAGAGTAAGATCCACTACAACTGTAGATGTATGTATGTATAGGTGGATTTTCTGACGACCTATGCATAAAACACCGTAACAGAGATTCGACCTAAGCTGAAGGTTGAAGCTGCAGCGTTGGTGTTTTAAATCCTTCAAGGTCATCAAGTTGCCTTTGGTTTGGTTGTCGTCTGTCAAATGTAGCAGTTGTTTTGTAAATTATAAACCTTGTAAAATAATGCCGAAAAAACAAATATTCCAAAGTGTTCCCTGAGTAAAGGTGTCGGGTAGGACTTTTCAAGCAATAAATGGGTAATTATCATTCAACAATCGATATAATTATAACCTCACTTTGGAAATTTTCGTAGATTTGCAGCATCCACAACATAAACAACAAATTTTCCATACAGTAATATACGGTAAGTTATTAAAGAAGCCGCATTTTGTTTGGAAGATATTTGAAAATGTTGCCTGAAGACACTTTTGCTATTTGTGATAAATATTGTGATGAAGAGGGTGTGAAGAATGGGGAGAAAGACAATCATTCTAGGATAAATGGTCATCGCAATACTCTTTGTGTACTGTCGAGTATAAGGTTACAGTTTATGCTTGTTTTTAATAGCACTTTTTGCAGCATACTTGTTACACATGTAACGGGTATTATGGGCCATGTTTCGAAGATCCAATTTGTTCAACGTGCCACGCTTTTTTGTTCCCAAATACTGCCCCAACTCTGGAGAGACCTTTGACACTTGAAGTATGAAAATGATTCTAAGAATGCAAGTATTAAATCAAGAACTGCATATGTGTAACGTTCGTACATGATTTGATCGTTACTCAAATTTTAATTCTTATGCAGTTGTTGAATATGAGCAATTTATCTTTAATTCAGTTAAAAGCGATGTATTCATAGATAGCAGAACTAGTTATTGTTTGAAAAAAATATCTACTTTGAAAATGATGGCAAAGAGAGAGGATGTAAATTAAGATATGATAGATTGTTTGGGTCGAAATTTTATTTCTGCCTCTTCTATACCTGTCAAACACACTTGTCACTATTTATCTGTAGTCATTTATAGGTTAAATGGTTTTCTGACATATATCAATCATGGATGACTTGACTAAGACAAAATCATTGTTAATATGAACCATTTCACAGATTTAGAAAGTAATAGTTTATGAAACCTTTAAAATAAGCTTTTCAATTTTTATCAACATTTTTTTTTAAAGAAGTGTCATATTTTATGGTATTTTTGAAAAGCATGTTGACCACTTCTACAAACTATTAAAAAATGGATATTATTATGAAGAATCAGTGACCTTGGTTTTAGAAACTTTGATTTAATCTCATAAACACTAGTAGATGAAAGTGTCAGTGTGAAAACTGAAAACATTGTAATATAATTCAATAACCTTACAGTATAAAAAATAATAATAAAGCGTTCAAAAGTACTGTAAAGTCGGGTTTTTTCTAGAATATTGTTCGTTTATAAGTAAATAGTTTGGACACTGGATTGGGGAATTTCCAAGAAATTTTAAAAACTTGTTACTTTGGAATAATGCTGACCTAGGTACTAAACTGAAATTGTAAATATCATATAAAACATTGTAGATGTATACGAGCAAACTAGTTAACCATTAGGTTTATAGCACATTTCACGCATTAACTGCTCATAATTTCAGCTCTCCCATAACTTGTAACAAGTCTGAAAGGGGGAGAGAGAATTAAAAAGAGCACACATTTCAATTAGTTTTTGATAGATTGTACAACTAGTAATATTAAAATGTAATAATAAACTCAAAAAAACCGTTGGTGTAAAAATACAAATTGCTTTACGCATGCGCAGGAAAGTAATCAAACATTTTTTCGATATGCTAATGATTCAATTTTCAGAAATGTACATTTTATAGCTAACAGTTAATTTATACTCAAACAACGAAAAGTATTGAACTCGATAACGTTCATTGACATAATCATACCATTAATTGAACTTAAAATATTCTACTTCTTGCTTCCAGTATATACAAATTTTATTATATATGTCGTATCACTGAAAGAAATATGGTTCTTACATATGTACTCTACACTTTTACCTGTTAATAAAAAAGTAGTAAAATCGAAAAGAACTAGTGATCATCTTTTTTGGACGTTGATTCTCTTGGGTTTTTTTTTTAAATTACGAATCCAACCTTCATGACTGGTTCAAAACCCTATAATGAGTGAACCGTTTTAAAATCTAAAAGTATTACGGAATTTAATTGTTTGTATTTACTTTAGAGATCAAGTGACAGTGACTCAGGTAACGATGAACCCGTGGATAATAGTCAAGAAAGTATGCCGAACGTGTATGAAGAACTGGTAGGAAAGATGGCGCCTGTGAGAGTAGATACTTTAGCTAAAGAATTGCAAAGACTGTCTGTTGTAGCACATCACATTACTGACATGAATCTTGAATTGTTTCCACCCGAAGGTAAATATCTACTATTACCTCCACCAAGGTTATTAATTCAATAATTGTAGTCCTAATGCACATGTTTCAATATTTAGATGAAATTTCTTTATGGAGTATAGGTCAAGTTTGTCGACGCTGGCGTGAGGTATTGTTTATGTGTGTAAAATTAGAACGCTGGAGAGATTTCGTTCGTTTAAGATGGCCATTACTGCCGATAGAGAATTACGACCAAGACTGGTATGAAGTAAGTTGGAGTATAACTGTTTTGTGTGCGGTAATAACGTCGTTGTCGTAGTTATACACCGCTATGATGCTTAGTTCTTGTTGTTTGAAATGTATCAAACAAATGGCTGCTCAGAAACTGCCACCGCAGTGGGAAGAAAGTTCTTGGCGAAGACACAGATTAAGAACTGAACTTAAGACAATGAGGAACGATCCGCTGGACGGTATTGAGGCTATTCCTCTTGATACTTATTGTTGTCATTGGCAGGCGACTATAGAGGGACCAGCTGGAAGTCCATATGAAGGGGGGTTATTTTTTCTCTATATTCAGGTACCTACATCATACCCATTAGATCCGCCAATCGTACGCTTTGTTACCAAAATATTTCATCCCAACGTATCAAGACATGGGGATATTGGAATAGATTCTATTCACCATAATTGGTCATTGGCGTTAACAATAAGCAAGTTGTTGATTTCAATACAGTCGCTACTGACAGATCCGTATTGTGACGTACGTTATGAATAGTTGTACTGTATTATTAAGTATTGTGCAAGTGATTGTTTTAGGTATGTATGGAACCTGAAATAGGAAACATGTATTTAAAAAACAGGCGAGCTTTCGAGGAACAGGCAAGATTATGGACAGCTCATCATGCAATGCATGATATGTTACCACATTAAGTGGCGGTGTTTGATAAGTGATATATTGCTGTTAATGATTGTGTTTGTTGTTTTTTTAATTCTTGAAGGTGTATAAATTCTTTTTATTTATATGACTTGGTGGCGTTCGAAACGGATATTAAGTTCTTTGTACTTTCGTTCGTTGTTGTTAATGTGTTAATTGTTTAAATTTGTATAAACAAAGTTTGTAACAGATTATTATAGAAAGTTATTTGTTGTTTAATGTTATTTACACCCCATTACGTTGGCGCAAACTGATTGAACGGGTTGAAAGAGACGCAGAAAATGATTTAATATCAAAATTGCACTGTTTATCGCTTTATATGTAACAATTTTAGTTTCCTGTTAGTGACAGCGCCATCTGATGAGGCGTGATTTATGTGTTTACAAATACAGTCCAGGAGTGGCGCCACTGTTCAGTGGAACTCTGGCGCACTGCCTGTGGCTAGTTTAAATTCTGGAAAAGTATGTAAATTTCATTCGAAACGTATGATGACTTTTTGCTGTATTTAAAAAAACCGATACCGTTTTTTAAAGGGGAAATGGAAATTGTAGCGTTAGAGTAGGGTTCGACGCCACGTGTGTTTGTTTACTTTTTGTTATATTTATAAAATGTCACAAATAAAATAACATTTAAAAAATTCCAAAGTTATGTATTTATTCATTATTAACCCGAGCGTTTCTGAAAATTAGTATTTCATATTACCCGCCAATTTGATGTCGTCACAGTAGGGTTTAAAGTAGTGTATTATACTATATAAAGATTGCAAATCGTTGTTTTGCTTTTTATAAATAAATATACATGAACATTCTTAGTTAGATTTTTTGTTTTAAGCAAAAAACAAATTAGTTTGTAATAAAAATCGAAACGGCAAAGATGTTTTAAAAGTTTTTCAAAGTTGATACAATGTTAATTTGGAATTACCATGCTGATGATTATAGGGAATCTACGAGAATATTTTTAGTTACGTTGGGGCCAAGGGGCGAACCAATAATAAGAAAAAACACTTTACGCAAAATAATCCAATCCATAAATTGCAAATTAACTGAAAAAAAGTCGTTTGCATGTATATACAGCAAGTAAACTTCGTATATTAAAGACTCGGCGGGTGATCTACGATTAAAAAATATTGAACTGGAAAACCAGAGAAACCTTAGTTGTAATTTTTACCAACGTTGAGTCTTCAAACCGTATGGAAACTACAAAATGTGAAACATGTAACATACATATTACACGTACTTTACTTGCGCAGTATGCAGCAACGACAGTAAATATACCAAACTCATCTATATCCACCATTTTAAAAATAACAATAATAGCCATAATTGGCTTACTGTAAAGCAAATGATTTTTCTTTCAGAACAGTTCAGATCACATTGAATTTGAGAGCTAGCGCAGGAAATCTGGGATGCATTACTCGACCATAAGATTAGATTGTGGAGAAGGGCGACTATAAAATCAAATGGGTATGAATAGGCTGCAGCACGACTACACTGAGCAAAATTTAATCTTGCTCCAGCAACAAATGTTAAATCGGAGGGAAATTTTGTGGACTGTAGGCGTAGCCGTATAGTAGTTTGTTTTTTAAGCGAATTCTGTTGTTGGTTTATTGAATACATTTGAGTAGGAACGCTGTAAACATACTTTTTTAATTCTAATTTTTACAGATAAATTTCTTTAATTATAAATATATTTTTAAGCAATTTCAGTATGTTAAGGACAAAATAAAACATTAATTTGCTGCGGTTAATACAAAAAGTGGTCTAGAATCTACACCACATAACCTAACAGTCTGTTAGAAAAAAACTTGTCGGTTCTGTATTAAATTAAAGGATTCTTGATAAATATGACTGGTCATAGTACAGCATAAGCAGTAATTTTTGAGGTGGACAACCGATTTCGAGTGTCGCACTGAAATAAAAGGATTAAGTAAACCGTGGAAGCGTTGTCAAATTTTACCTACGTTATACAAAGCTCGTTAACGAGATAGCTGTAGAACTTGCGTTTAATAAAATATGAGTACACATTTGGATATATTTGAATTAAACCACGTAACTTCGACATTATGAAACGTGACGTTAAACATAGGCATAAAAGTTACCATCAGCTGCACAAAAAATAATTAAAACACAGGCCATGAATGTAAATGTATTGCACATAAACTACCGTCTATACGACAGGAAAATCTGCTCTTATTTTACTACTGCATTATAATTTTTGCCAAATGCGTTTATTAACGCTTTGTTTTTCGAGGATTAATTACGTAAATACTAATATACCCTGAATGTACAATTGCTAGTTTATTGTTATTATTAAATTTGATTGAAACGTTTTAAATAAAGCCATACAATTAAACAATCTTTCCACAGGAAATTGTTTAATTTCACGTTTCTTGGAGTTTTTAAACTCACTCAAGATGTCTTAAACATGAATGTGTGAATCGATTTATTTTATAATTATCTTTATACCGGTTGCTTTCATTTTCACAATATTTGTCCTCAAACAGTTAACGTTATTATTAAATTAGTTTTAGTTGCGAGGTAAATGTAAATCACATTCCGGATTTTTTTGAAGTGGAAAATGAACAAATCCACGTTAAGCAAAACGAAAACAGATAAACCGAATGTGTTTGAGTGTAAGGGTAGATCGAGCGGTCCTCTCGTCGTAACGTAAATTTACTAAACGCTGACCTTCAATTACGATTAGCACGCTTCGCTCAATATTAAGTCAAGCGCGGCCAGTGTAATACAATCAAAATACAATATGTGTTTTTTCGTTTCGGGGTTGGCAATAACATACAAAAGTCCATAGGTGCATCTCATCACTCTTCATAGATGGCACTAGTTCAAATAACATTTACGACACAGCAGGATAGTCTCGAGGTGAAAATAAAACCGCGGAAACTTAATAACACTTCTATCAAACACATTCACTTTGCGAAGTTTCTCTTTAATAATTTTCAGATGGTGAAGAAAACTACCTTTATGCTGCTACAATTCATAAAAACTTTTAGGACAATTGCGGATTTATTTCACTGAGAATGCAGATAAAAGGTGTTTGTGCAGCTTAATTTTTGATGTTGATTTTAAATTCATGGAGAGTTTCTTGGTGAAATTGGCGAGCAAAGAGAGTAAATTAATTATCTACGTAGTTTTTATATTGCTGCAACTGTTTCAATGCTGACGCCATAAATATGCACTGTTTTTGAAATTACGGGATTTCTAACCTAATTTGAATAAGGAAGACATGTTTTCTATTATCTGCCAACGGTGCTGGTTCCTAAGACGTCGCATGTTGTTTTTCTAAGATGTTGTTTGACCTAGTTTAAACGTTAAAAGCGTTGATATGTTAAAACTAGTTGGAAAAGCATTAAACAAAATGCAAAAGTTATTTTGTCCATTTAAAAACAAAACGTTGCACTACTGTTTGTATTAATTATCAACAGTTTGTGGCTATTTAGCAATACTAAACAACCACTGCCGGTATTCCTGATGGTAATATAAACACATTAAAACACTAATTTTCATTGGCCACACTAATATATTGGAAACAAGTTTGGGTTTTGATAGTTTTGTTTATAATAATAACGAATTAAATCAAGAGAACAATAACGAAATGACGTTGAAGAACTTAAACAATGTTATCTAGGGAGGCTGAAATTAATGAAAAGGATAACTCATTTTGTTTTCCATTGTTAAAATATTCATTTGGTGTAGTAATAAGTGGTTAACAACAGACGTACAAAATTAAATGTAACTACAAAAAGCATAGAAGACGTCAATTAAACAAATTTAATTAAACGAATCAATAATTAGCAAAATTAAAAAAGAAGAATCATTGATGTTCGGGCTGGTTAGATCAGAGTAGTGTAGGTTATATATCGTTGACGTGAGAATCGAAGGGATGAGGTAAAGTTAGAACAAGAGTAGTCAAATCATTTGTTTTGTGGTGTGTTCATGGAAGAAATATTTGAGACAAACAATGTTATTGATACAACACAAATATTAATCTGTTGCAGAGTTTAAGCAAATTAAATTTAGGAAACAGTGTATAAAATATTTGTGTTCATTCGTTACATTGGGTGAATTACACACATTTTTACTTTTTTTAATTGTCGACGATTGAAAACAAAGTCGGATAGAAAAAGAAACTAAGGAAATGAAAGGGCATTGAATTAAAGATAAACATCTTTCAGCTTAGAGCTGGAAGTATTTCGTTTTTAGAGGTTCAGTTTTCTTTCATCTCTTTTATTGCTGTACTACTATATGTGTCTTCTATGGACGATTGTTGATGCTATTTTGCTTTCATTAGCGATTTTGGAAACATTTTTAAAGACGGTAAAGCTTTAATTTCATCTAGGGTCACTTTACAGCAATGAAATATTTAATTACATTTTCTTGTAGATTTTGGGCCGCGGGAGTCATTTCTGGCTATATTTCTGCGATAACTTAAACTGTTTTTCCAGAATTGTACATTGAAATATAGCAATTTTTAAAAATGTCACGTCGATTTTTCCGAAAATATTGCTCGGTTACTATCAACACGCTATATTTTTGGAATCAGCATGTCGAGATCTACGTCCCTGAATTTTTTCGCAATTTACAGACAACTTTTTTAAAAGTGAAAATTTTTCAATGGTCCCCCTTCTTCAAATTTCGGCCAAATTTTGACATTTTCGAAACTCAGCTAAATACATTTTCTTGTAGATTTTGAGTTCTAGAACTCACTTCCGGCATCGTTTCTTTGATAAGTGCAACCGTTTTTCCAGAATCGTCCGTTGAAATATTGAAATTTTTAGAAATTTTCAAAAATTCGCATTTTATACCGATTCTTTCTAAAATGTTGCTGCATGACCATCAACACGCTATATTTTTGGAATCAGCATGTCGAGATCTACGTCCCTAAATTTTTTCGCAATTTTTAGACAACTTTTTTAAAAGAGAAAATTTTTCAGTGGTCCCCCTTCTTCAAATTTCGGCCAAATTTTGACATTTTCGAAACTCAACTAAACACATTTTCTTGTAGATTTTGAGCTCTAGAACCCACTTCAGGCATCGTTTCTTTGATAAGTGCAACAGTTTTTCCAGAATAGTCCGTTGAAATATCGAAATTTTTAGAAATTTTCAAAAATTTGCATTTCGTACCGATTCTTTCGAAAATGTTGCTCCGTGACCATCAACACACTATATTTTTGGAATCAGCATGTCGAG